TTATGAACAAGCAGACCCACTATGGAGATTCTCAGTCATCCAGGTCATGTTTTTTTCTTTTGAAGACGTTTTTCGCTTCTCATCCGAGAGAGCTGAAGAAGCTTCTTGGATGAGAAGTGAAACGTCTTCAAAGAAAAACCAGAAAGTCCCGTTGCCTCTTGGGGAAAAAAAAAACACCTTTGGGAGAGGCAGATCCACCATAAACGGGATAAGCATCATTCTTGTTGGAAGGAAAATCCATCTGGTTCAGTTCCAAGCTGGGAGAAAAACGCTGGAAACAACATGGAGGCTGATTGGAAAGAAAGTTGAATGATGAACAAGAGCCTTGGTGGCGCAGCAGACTAAAGTGCTGTTAAGTAACACCAGCTGCCTGCAATTATTGCAAGTTCAAATCTCACCAGACTCAAGGTTGACTCAGCCTTCCATCCTTCCGAGGTAGGTAAAATGAGGACCCGGATTGTGGGGGCAATAAGCTGATTTTGTATAAAAAAGAACACCGCTTTGAGGGGGGGGGGGCAAAGCCCTACTCAGCAGGTATATACAAAAGTATGAAGGCTATTGCTTAACGCATTGTAAGCCGCCCTGAGTCTCCGGAAAAGGGCGGCATATAAATCGAACCAATAAATAAATAAATAAATAAATGAACAGAGCCAGCAGTTTTGGGTCAGCTTGAACAAACGGTTGAATGGGTGGATGGATCTTTATAGGTTTCTGTGACTTTGAAGTTTAAACTGTTGTGGGGGGCGGGGTTTGTGCAATATCTGAAATGCCCTTAGGGGATTGGGCAATGTAGTGAGCTCTGTCTCTTCTGCTAAATGGTAGTGGGTTAATCTTTTGTTGTTGTTAGTTGCGACGTCATGTCCGACCTATCGTGACCCCATGGACAACATTTCTCCAGGGCTTCCTGTCCTCTACCATCCCCTGGGGTCCATTTAAGCTCACACCGACTGCTTCAGTGACTCCATCCAGCCACCTCATTCTCTGCCGTCCCCTTCTTCTTTTGCTCTCTATCGTTCCCAGCATTCGGCTCTTCTCCAGGGAGTCCTTCCTTCTCATTAGGTGGCCGAAGTATTTGAGTTTCATCTTCAGGACCTGGCCTTCTAAAGAGCAGTCAGGGTTGATCTCCTCTAGGACTGACCGGTTGGATCGCCTTGCAGTCCAAGGGACTCGCAGGAATCTTCTCCAACACCATAGTTCAAAGGCCTCCATTCTTTGGCACTCAGCCTTCCTTATGGTCCAACTTTCACAGCCATACATTGCAACTGGGAAAACCATCGCCTTGACTATACGCATCTTTGTTTACAGGGTGATGCTTTTTAGATTTGCCATACCTTTCCTCCTCAGGAGCAAGCATCTTTTAATTTCTTGGCTGCAGTCCCATCTGCGGTGATCTTGGAGCCCAGGAAAATAAAATCTGTCACTACCTCCATTTTTTCCCCATCTACTGTATTTTTCGGAGTATAAGACGCACCGGAGTATAAGAAGCAGCTTAGTTTTGGGGGAGGAAAATAGGGGGAAAAAATCTGCCTACCAGGTATTCAGCTGGCTAGTGTCCTTAGTCTGGTCAGCTTCAGCACATTAGTTTGCTGGTTTTTATCCCCTGCTTGGGGGTAAAAAACAGCTTCTAAAGCACAACTGATTTTTGGAGAGAGAAGCAATGAGAAAAGCAGGCAAACCATGGAGATCGCTTCACTCGCTAGCGCCTCCTTAGGGCTGAAAAAAAAAGCTTCACAGTTGGAGAGTCGGAGGAAGCAGGCAAAGAAGGAAACATCGCGTCACTGAAAAAGCTAAAGCACAGCTGAGAGTCGGAGGTAGATCGCTTCAGTCGCTAGCGCCTTGTTAGGGCTGAAAAAAAGCTTCGAAAAAGCTACATTCGGAATATAAGACGCACCCAAATTTTCAGCCTCTTTTAGGAAGGAAAAAAGTGTGTCTTATACTCTGAAAAATACGGTATTTGCCAGGAATTGAAAGGGCCGGATGCCATGATCTTAGTGGGTTACTCTTATTGTGTCCTAAATGGCCATGTCCTGTTCTTCTTAATCCCATCATCCTGGAGCTGAAGGTCTTTTGTTTTGTAGATAGGCTGGCCCAGTCTTTCTTAATGAGCACGAAATATCTGCCGGGGGGGGGGCGAGAGGGGGAAGCTATTAAGAAAGACGGAGTCTGCTTTCTGCCTTTAAGAGCATGTTTCTTCTAGTGAGAGGGCTTCCCACATTCTGAAATCAAACATTTTGGCGGGTATAATTGAAAACCTGGTGATGAATAACCCTCATCCTCGTGTAATAGGGGGTGGCCGGTGGTTCATCAGGTTCCCCTAGGATGCTTTGAGAAGGGCAAGAAAATTGATAGCATCGCTTATTTGCAATGGAGGGAGGAGGAGCAGTGGCTGGGGAGCTGCTTGGCTGTTCCCCAAGGGCTTCTTGGCAGACCAGACTGAGCCCAAATGCCAGTGCTTAGAGCTGTGTAAATGTGAATTGGGCGAGTCAGACTACGTAGGTCAATTGACAGCAAATGCATCTGGGGTTTATCAAGCCTGACCTTCTGTTTCCGTGATGAATAACCGGCTGGCAGGCGAGAAGATGGCGTGGTTTGTGCCAGCAAAGCTCCCGCTGGAGTTTGTAAACATAATCAGTGCAAGATAGCGCGTGAAAAATGCCCGGCGTGATCTCACTCGGCCTGATACAGACAGGACAATTCGTCTGACGTGTTCGTCATGTGGAAAGGAAAAGGAAAAAAAAAAAATCAAAAGTACCCAAAAAAGGAATACACAACATTACTCAAAAGTTTTTAAAGGGAAGGCGAATTGAAACTTCAGGGTTTCTTTTTTTCCCCCTCCTACTAGTAATTGTTCCAGAACAAATTAATTAAAAATATCATGGTAGGAGATGATCGGGGCTGAGTGTGAGGGAGGAGTCAAATGTGTCATCAGTCTCGAGTCCCTTCGTGCCCATAAGAGATCTAAGTCCCACCCACCTTAAATTCCGTAGCCTCCTATTTACTGCCAATTTGTTTTTAACTGTCTGGGTTTCTTGATTTCCCCGCTTGACAATCACGGTTTTAATAAGATATATGCTTTTTCTTTTATTATTATTATTATTATTATTATTATTATTATTATTATTATTTATTATTATTTTATTATTTATTATTATTTTATTATTTTATTATTATTATTATTTCGGAGGATAAGACGCACCGGAATATAAGACGCACCTACCTTTTTTGGTGAGGAAAAGAAGAAAAAGAAATCTCCCTCTGTCTCTGCCTCTGAGCAATTTTGCCTGGTTGCAGCAATCGGCAAACAGCCTGCTTTACTTTCATTTTCGTTTTCAGTATAGCTTGATTAGCACAAGGGGGAAAAAATCTGCTCCAGCAATTTACCTCTTTGCAGTAACAGCTTAGAGCAAAACAGCTGAGAGTCGGGAGGCTGATCCAATCAACTTGTACTAATTAGGCTGTGCTGAAGCTGAAAGGAGCTGTTTTTTCTTGCTGTTTGCTTGCAAGGAGGTAAATTGCTGGGAGGCAGAGGCCAAAGGGTGGGGGCCAGTGGGTGGGCGGGGCTATATTCGGTGTATAAGACGCACCTAAATTTTCACCCCCTTTTAGGAGGGAAAAAGGTGCGTCTTATACTCCGAAAAATACGGTATATAAAATACAAAAAGGAAATAGAAAATTAAGGGAAGGAAAGGGAATGGAGAAAAGAGGGTGGGAAATTCAAGGGGGAAGAGAAAAAGAAAGGAAAGGGGGCATTGACTTCCAACTCTTCCTAGCACAGTACAAGATAAACACGCTCCAACCTCCACTTTTTGCTTTTACACATTAATACATAACTAGCCATTTCTATAACACCAAATCTTTCTAATCAACAAAACCAAAATCAAAGTTTCCTTTTTTTTTCTTTTCTTCACAAGCACAAATTCCAGAAGTGATATCCAAACAAGAACATATTTTCCTCTTTAAATAATCAATTTAACCGTTCCTGCTTTATCTTCCTTGCTATAGAAATAGTACGTATTTCCATTTGCACCTAATAATCTTTGTGAGTGGTCACTATTTAGAATAGAATAGAATAGAATAGAATAGAATAGAATAGAATAGAATAGAATAGAATAGAACAGAACAGAACAGAACAGAACAGAACAGAACAACACAACACAACACAACACAACACAACACAACACAACACAACAGAATTTTTTATTGGCCAAGTGTGATTGGACACACAAGGAATTTGTCTTTGGTGTATATGCTCTCAGTGTACATAAAAGACAAGATACATTCATCAAGAATCATAAGGTACAACACTTAATGATAGTCATAGGGAACAAATAAGCAATCAGGAAACAATATCAATATAAATTGTAACGATACAAGCCACAAAGTTACAGTCATACAGTCGTAAGTGGAAGGAGATGGGTGATGGGAACGATGAGAAGATTAATAGTAATGCAGAATTTACAAAAATTTACAAAATTTATTGCATTCAACAGTCATGCAGGACCAGAAGTTCACTTGAAAGTGCCAATTTTTGGAAGCTTTTTAGGGCACTCTCGTTCTTCTTACACTGAGAGTTTACAGATTACAGATTAACAGAGTTGGAAGGGACCTTGGAGGTCATCTAGTCCAACCCCCTGCCCAAGCAGGAGACCCTACACCATTTCTGACAGATGACAGTCCAGTCACTTCTTGAAAGCCTCCAGTGATGAAGCTCCCACAACTTCCAAAGGCAACTTCTGTTCCACGGGTTGATTGTTCTCACTGTCAGAAAATTCCTCCTTATTTCCAGGTTGAATCTCTCCTTGATCAGTTTCCATCCATTATTCCTTGTCTGGCCTTCGGGTGCTTTGGAGAATAGTTTGATTCCCCACCCCCTCTGTGTGGCAGCCCCTCAAATACTGGAAGACTGCTATCCTGTCTCCCCTGGTCCTTCTCTTCACTAGACTAGCCTGCAACCGTCTATCATATGTTTTGAACACAAAGGGATTCTCGTTTTTATTCAGGTCACGATGACTCGGACATGGAGATCCACGAGGACGATGGATCAGACAGCGACCTGGAAGACCGGCAGCTGATCAAGCAACGCACAGCCATGGAGATGCTGATGCACGGTGGGTCGATCTGCTCCTCTTCTCTCCTCTTCCCAAACGGCTTTCAAGGCACGTTTTCAAACTGTGCAGCCTGTACCCATGAGGGTGCAAATGAGAAAAAAAATGGCTTTTAACAGATAAAGCGATGTCAGCTTGTACCAGCGTATTAAAAAAAAAGAAAAAAGATTCCCAGATTTAAAATGCTAAAGATTGCCTTATTCCCGAGCTGATTTTAGACAGCTGGCCTTTCTCCAAATTCCAGATGAAATCCAAAAGAAAAAGAACTTAAAGGAGGGAATGGGGAGTTGGCAGTATCCTTCCCCCTGCCACGCGCCCACCAAGCCACACTACACCCACCAAACCATGCCCACAGAACCGGTAGTAAAAAAATTTGGATTTCACCACTGACCCACGGCCTCAGATTCCCACAGTGAAAGTTTTTGAAAATAGATGACCAACAGTCTTAGACCAAGTCAGTTTCCTTTACTTTAAGCCCATCTTACCTAATTCAACCTGAGCCAAAGGAAAAGATGCTCCTCGGAGGGGCGAAATCCCACCGAAAAGGTGCCCACTCTGACAGGTGTCAACATTTCTACCTTTGATAGCTCTGCTGACGATGGAAGCATCTATGTCCTTTGAGTTTATTTTATCAATGGTTCTGCCAGAGCTTGGCTTACACTTTTGTGACGTTTTCTGACAAATATTGCGTGTTTCAGGGCGGCCGAGCAAACGGCTTGTTGGAACCATGCAAGGGGGAGACACGGAGGACGAGGTAAGCGGCTGTGGCTGAAATACCCGTGATCATGTTTAAACATGAGTTCACGTGCACTTTTTTTGCAAAGTAGAAACAAAGGTTGTTTTAATGGTTTTCCTGCATGAAGGAAAGCATGAAGGTTTTCGCTCATTTCCCGCCAGTGCAGTTTTGCATTTATTTATCATTAAACCAAACCCCATTTTCTCTGCGTGCAGTTATACCGGGTTTAAAGTAACAATTATTTCATGAACTTTTCAACGTTGGCTTTTAAGTATCCCTGTCTCTTATTTTAAATTTAATGTACTGTTTTTATGTTTGACTGTGTTATTTGTACACCCACCGAGTCCTTCTGTAAGGCAGAGGGGTGGTTTCTAAATTTGATTCATTAATTACTTAAATTAGGCAAGGTTCAAAGTGACAGTAACAGAGTTGGAAGGGACCTTGGAGATCATCTAGTCCAACCCCCTGCTTACGCAGGAGACCTGTACTAGGGATTCGAACCGCCAAACTGCTGACCTTTCTGATCGACAAGCTCACTGTCTTAGCCACTGAGCCATGCAGTCAGGCTGAGCAGAGGTGGGGGGAGGATAAGATAGGATTGTGAATTACCTAAAGATAGTATGTTCCACTATAAACCTATGATTTCTATAGCTGATGCTTCTCTCTGATTTTTTTCATATGTATAGTACAGGTAGTCCTTGACTTACAACTTGTTGTGGGCGGAACTGGCAGCAGATTTGGACAGTGAGGAGGTTGGGGAGGAACATGGGCCAGTCCTGGGGGCTGGGGAAAGCTCAGACGAGGGCTCTGCTTCGGAGGCAGAGAGGGAGATAGACAGCAGTGAGGCAGAGGAACAGCTGGAGCCTGTTCCCAATGTGTGTATGCTAAGAGCTTCCAGAAGACAAGAACAACTAAGAAAGCAGGGTCGACCTGGGAGTAAAGCCACTCCTCGGAGGTGATTGGCCCCTCCCATAGGAAACAAAAGAGGAGTGAACGGGGAGTGGGCTTTTGCAGGAAACAATTTGTTCGTTCGGTGACTCTGAGAGATTCTGTGCCAAGTTTTGCCTTGTACTGCATTTGGAAACTAGTTACCTGGCAGCTTTCCAAGCGAGATAAGGTCTGTGTTGATAAACATTCCTTTGAAAACCTGTTTGGACAGGCCTTGCTGACTGTGAATGAAAGGAATTCACAGTTGTGTAAATAAAAGAGGCTTTTTCTGGGACCAAGACTCTGGTTCCTGCTTTTTAAGGGAGCCTAGGTCAGGACACAACTGTTCATTTAGTGACCATTTAAAGTTACAAAAGCACTGAAAAAGGTGACTTATGACTGTTTTTCCCAATTACGACTTTTGCAGACGCTTGGCAACTGGTTCATATTTATGAACCCCTTTCTGAACAAGCAACGTCAATGGGGAAGCCAGAGCCACCTAACAATCGTGTTACTACCCTAACAGCTGCAGTGATCCACTTGTGATCTCTGAAAAAAAATGTCTCACTTAACAACAGAAAGGTTGGGCTCCGTTGTGGTCGTAAGTCGAGGACTACCTGTATATTCAAATAAAAGTGCGCTCTGCACTGTAAAAGCATCTGGGATTGTGAACGAGCTTCGGATGATTTATAGAATTCGCTTTGATTAAAAGTGCTCATGAATGCTAAGAATAAATATATATTTATGATATATATTTTAATAATATATAATTTAATTTATTTTAATAAATATTTGCAGTATAATATCTTCAAAGGCCACTAACTACCTATTTCTCAGAATTGATAGCTTGGGCCTGAATCTTATTTAAAGGCTTAATTTTGCAATTTACTCCTTAGTCCTATGGCTTTCAGTGGGCCCTCTAAGTATTTTGCTCTGGGGGTTCAGGATTCGGCTGAATTTTTATACAAGCCCCTGTATAAGACGCCCCTTTTATTTATTTATTAGTCCAATTTATATGCCGCCCTTCTCCATAGACTCAGGGCGGCTTACAATGCATTATAGCAATAGCCTGCATACTTTTATGTATATACCTGCTTATTGGGGCTTTTGCTTCCGATGCGAATAGAAATTAGAAACACGCCACTTATCATTTGCTGCTCTACAATACGGAAAGTCCTTGAATTGCAACCATTCCTTTAGCGGCTGTTCAGAGTTACAACGGGATTGAAAAAAGTAATTTACGTCCAGTCCTCATACTTACAACCATCGCTCCATCTCCGTGGTTACAAGATCCGAATTCAGGTGCTTGACAACTAACAAGTATCTGTGATGGTTGCAACACCCCAAAGTCCCTTTGTCACCATTTGCAACCTTTCCGGCTAGCTTATGAGAAGCGGTAAACCATTTGGAAAAAGTGTATTTTCTAAAACTAGCTAATAACACCACCTTTTTTTTTTTTTTTGGAGTAGTACCATAAAATTATATATCAATGGAAAGATAATTTAATCAATAATTTCATGCAATAGCTTTTAAGAAGGATTTGCTATTAGAATAGCAGTTACAGTATAAAGAAGAAAAGTGAAACACGTAGAAAAAACGAGATATACAAAACTGATCACCATGTCAGTTAACACTTAGTTGGGTAACCTTCAACATGAATTACAGCCTTACAACGTCTTCCCATGGAGTGAACCAAGTCTTTTTTAGAACCTAGCTGTTCTAATGTGAAACCAAGATTGAAGGATGGCTTCTATTAACTGGGTTTTATTGCTGGGTCGCTTCTGACTAACCAGTTTCTTTAGTCGGCTCCATAGATTTTCAGTTGGGTTTAGGTCTGGGCTACTCCCAGGCCATTCCAGCAGTGAAATAGGCTTATCTTGAAACTCCAAACAAAAAAAGTGGTGTTATTAGCCATCAAACCTCAAAAATACACTTTTCCTAAAAGGTTTCCACAATTTTGGCCACTACTGTACATATACATATACATATACATATACATATACATATACCGTGTTTCCCTGAAAATAAGACCCTATCATATTTATTTATTTATTTATTGGTTCGATTTATATGCCGCCCTTCTCCGGAGACTCAGGGTGGCTTACAATGCGTTAAGCAATAGCCTTCATACTTTTGTATATACCTGCTTAGTAGGGCTTTCGCCCCCCCCCCCAAGCGGTGTTCTTTTTATACAAAGTCAGCTTATTGCCCCCACAATCCAGGTCCTCATTTTACCTACCTCGGAAGGATGGAAGGCTGAGTCAACCTTGAGCCTGGTGAGATTTGAACTTGCAGTAATTGCAGGCAGCTGGTGCTACTTAACAGCACTTCCGTCTACTGCGCCACCAAGGCTCTTAATATATTTTTTTGAACCCCAAAATAAGCACTTGGCCTTATTTTCAGGGAGGTCTTATTATTTTGGGGCAAACCGAAGGAAACCAGAGGAAATGGTGGGGACTGGCTGCGCATGTGTTTAAATATTTTCGGGAAGGGCTTATTTTCAGGGGGGGCTTATTTTAGGGGAAACAGGGTACATATACATATACTGTATATGTGTGTGTGTGTGTGTGTGTGGAACTGGCCACGGTTCACTTAAACACCACCTTGCTTAGCGAGCACAGGTCCCAAATAAGTCAAGAACCCACCTGTAATAATAGCTGTAGCTTGAAAGCATTTTTTTCTCCAGTTTATTTATGGGGCCCACCTCTTCCAAAAGAGATCTGTTGACTTTAGGCCAGATTTGGGGGTCAACAGGTCTGAAAATGGCTTGCAGGAGTGGGCTGTCATATCAGCAACTACCCACAAATAACAGACTCCACGGAAGTAATACGGCCTCTGCTCTACTAACCTGTAACACTTAACCCTAAAGCAGGGGTGTCAAACTCTGGTCTGCGGGGTGCTTAAATCTGGCCAGCGGGTCCTCTCTGGAAACCGTGAAGGATTGGCCCACGGGGTGTCTGCCAGCAAAAATGGAGCTCGGGAGGGCTACGAGAGGCCTTCTCGAGTTCCATTTTCGGCTATGACAGCGTCCTGCAACTCTCTGCCAGCGAAAACAGAGCTCGGTTTTCATTGGCAGTGCACTCGGGTCACCACAGGTGCCTCTGACATGAGTGACGTTGAGTTAGCCACGCCCACCCTGGCCACGCCCCTGCCTCCCCGAGGTCAAACACAGCCCTGATGCAGCCCTCAATGAAATCAAGTTTGACACCCATGCCTTAAAGGGTCTGCCTTGGTTCATGCTTCCTCAAGCAGATAGTTGCTGTCTTAGCTTGGTCCAGAGTCATGCTTGAGCCGATCATGCCGCTGTCTTCTCCAGCCTTGTTTGGATTTGAATTCTCTTTTCTATTTGCCTTCTGCACTCACGCTTTTTTTTTTAACCCTCTCCGGTGTCGTTCCTCTTAATTTCTTCCTACCTCCATCTTGCGTGGCCTCGCATGCTGCTGCTCCCAAAGATCGGGGCAGCCCAAGCCCGAACCAAAAAGCGCAAAGCTTCCCGAGCCAAGGCAAAGGTGCGTGACTCTCCTGCCTACCCAACACCTGGCTCCTCCTCATCCCTTGCCCACAATCCCCCTCGCCTCTCTTCTCTGCTCTTGGGGTCCTGCTCACCATCAGACGCCACTGGCGGTGGGAGGACAGGGATGAAGGTAAGACGCGAGAACTGGCATGCCGTCTGCCAGGTTATAGTCCGCCGGCAGCCTGTGGAGCTGGCAGCAGAGTCGGACAGTGAGGAGGCTGGGGAGTAACATGGGCCAGTCCTGGAGTCTGGGGAAGGCCCCGACGAGGGCTCTGCATCGGAGGCAGAGAGGGGGACAGGGCCATCTGGGAGTTATGTGCGGACTCCGGAACCTCCAGAGTCAGACAGCGAAGAGGCAGGGGAACAGAGGGAGACTGTTCCCAGTGCGCGCTTGCACAGAGCTGCCAGAAAGACAAAAGGGGCGACTAGGGAGTAAGGCTTGGAGATGATTAGCCCTTCCCATAAGACATAAAGGAGGGGCAAAGGAACGTGAGCCTTTGCAGGAAGCAACTTTGTTAGTTCCCGGCGGTTTAAATTCTGCAGCTCTGTTTTTACTCTGTGCTCCGTGTGGCCTTGCAAAGTTAATTGCCAATTAGGTCTTTGGCAGCGTGTCAAGGGAGATAAAGGTGGGTGCTTATCAGCCTTATTCCGAAGGACTGTGGCAGACTTCTGTTGGACTCTTTACAAACTGTTTGTGACTCATCACGGGCTGTGAATGAACAGAATTCACAGCTGTTGAAATAAAAAGAGGGTTTTGGGGACTAATTGTGTGCTTTTTACTGTCTCAGAAAGCCTAGGTCAGACCACCCACAATAGCTTCTCCCCAACCTCAGATTGTGTCTGGAGACTACCAACGAGGGAGGAGGGGGGCGGGGTTGGATCTAATGCAGTGTTTTTCAGCCTTGGCAAACTTGGAGATGGGTGGACTTCAACTCCCAGAATTCTGGGTGTCGAAGTCCAGACATCTTCAGCTCACCAAAATTGAGACACTCTGATCTAATGGAAGGAAGTCATCCCAGAACTAAGAAACAGAACTTTCTCGGGAGTAGTTTTGCAAAAACCGTGTTTAGCCATAATTTTCTGGGTTGTCACAACATATTACAGTTTAAATTGTGTTTTGGTAAACCCACTAGAGCAGGGGTGTCAAACTCAAGGCCAAATCCAGCCCGCAGAATGCTTAGATCTGGCCCGCAGGGCCGCCCTGAGAACAGTGAAGGACCAACCCGCGGTGCCTCTGCCAGCGAAAATGGAGCCATTTTGGGGGGTGACAGTCGCCTGCAACCATCTGCCAGTGAAAAATGGAGCTCGGGAGGGCCACGTGTGGCCCTCCCGTGCTCCGTTTTTACTGGCAGAGCGCTCAGGCCACCACAAGCGCCCCCCAACACAAGTGACGAGCTGGCCATGCCCACCCCAGCCCCCCCCCGAGGTCAAAACACAACCCTGATGCGGCCCTCAATGAAATTGAGTTTGACACCCCTGTGCTAGAGGATGTGAGAAGCAGAAAGTGTAATATTCCTGTTTGTTTGTTTTTTTAAAAAAATGGAAGGGCAAGTTTGATAGCATAACTCTGTTTCTTTCCCCTCAAAATTTCCTTTTTTCACTGTACTTCCCTGTGGAACTGTATCTTCAAACAAAAATTTTCAGAGGACAGCAGGTTGCCTTAGAGGGGATAAGTCTTCTCTTCCAGGCCCCCGTGTCCCTCTTACACACGTACACAAAGTTCTTCGTTCCTTAAAATTAGCGCTTTTATTCACAATGAACTAGAGAGACTATAGATTATCTAACTGGATAGCAACTGTATTCATTCAATCTTACGGATAAATATTATCTATATTAATTCTTCAAGACCAGGGTGTATTTTTTTAAAAAAAATATCAGATAACCAATGCATACTTTTTCCTACAGGAAGACTCAGAGGAAAGCGAAATTGATCTGGATGATGATGACGATGACGATGATGATGATTTGGAAGATGACAGCATGGACATCTCCCCCACCAAAGCCAATCGGAGGGTCAGGAAGCCGGAGCCACTGGAGGAGAGCGATAATGATTTCTGAGGAACCTCAACAGGGATGACAAATGACAACTTGCCCATGACGTATGATGAGGCCATGTTGAGGTAGTGCAAGCTGTCCAAGAGAGTGATGATATATATATCATAGAGTATATATATAGGCCTCAAGGCTATTATTGCTTCATGAATTTCACAAGCTTTAAAAATTGAGGACGCAAAATTACACCAAACATCAGAAGCCATGGAAGTCCTACCATGCTGAAGGTCAAAGAACCTCACATCTTCAAGTTAACAGTCTAGAAACAAAATCTCAGTCAGCGCTAGGATGTGATTCTCGGTGATTTCAAAGAGCAGTTTAGGATGAGTTATCAGCTTGAGTTTGTATCTACTTTACAGACTGCAGTTGAGTCTTGAAAACTCTGCGACAAGATGAAAAATAATAATAATTTTTTATCAAAGATCAAGGCAAAATTGTCAGTTGTGCAAAGTGGAGAAACCCCCTCCAAGGAGAAGCTGATGGGTTTTGAGCTATTCCAGGTGTTTGAACTCCCCATTTGTCCTTGAAGCTATTGGTACATCCAATTCCAAGTTGGTCCATTGAGGAGAAACCCTCATCAGAGAGTGGGGTGGAGGAGAGAAATAGCTCTAGGGAAAAACAGAGTTTATTTTAACCGAATTAATCATATACAACTCTAATACCATCCCTGGTCCGTCTGTAGAAGCATCTCTTTTCAGATTCATGGACGTATTTGATAGACCATTTTGCTCGTCAAGAAGTGTTAACCTTGTTCTGTACTGACGTCTCCTTGGTTCACAACTCTAAGGCCAATGACAACCTTCTTTCCTTCCGATTTTGACTGTAACGTTCCTGCATTTTGCAAATAAACCCTCTTCACTTCCTCTCCCTTGTCTTTGCTCTGATATCTTTGCCCCCAATTAAGAAATTCAACAAAACGTAATTCCAAAATCAATCTACCGGCCTCTTTCAAATCAGCTTTGGTCATGCCACTTCATCCAAGTATCCTCTTTGGAGCAAAAAACCAAGAAAGCTCATGATTGGTTGAGAGTGAGTCGGGCTTCTCTTTGATCCCAGTTTCATGGCTGCATCTCCCCTTCAGGTCTATCCCGGGGCCTTCAAGGACATCCATTCTTTCACCGTGCCCTCAGTCAATGGGCACCATGCCCAACGTAGTCCCAACTGTGCTTTATATCTCCACCACGCAGCTAGGGGTGTTCGCTCGGATAGCCTCGGAAATCACCTTCGCTCCTGATTCACCGATTTTATTTCCCAGTAAGCTGTGGGAAGAAACAAAGAAGCTTTAGAGGGCCACTTCAATGCAAAGACTTCAGACTGATTAGCTATCCAGTTGCACCAGGTTGGAAATAATAATAACTTTATTGTCATTGTACGTATATACACTGTATACCCATACAACAAAATTCACTTAACACCCAAAGACCAGGTCCAACACACATAACAATCCCCAAACACACTCCCACCCACCACAATTCCCCACCCCTAAACCACCCAAACATCCACATGACAGAGCAAGTAATTCTGTCCAACAGTTCACTGATGGTGGCCCTTTAGTTCATTGTTGAGTGCAATTATAGCTCTAGGATAAAAACTATTCAGAAGACGTGTGGTCCGAGTTTTCATTGTTCAGTATCTTCTGCCAGTAGGCAACAGTCCAAAAAGATAGTAAGCAGGATGGGAAGAGTCTCTGAGAATGTTATGCAACTTTCTCAAACAGCGAGATTCGAAGATGTCGTCCAGGGCTGGTAGCTGGAGTCCAATGATATTCTGGGCAGTTTTAATGATTCTCTGTAGAGCTTTTTTGTCCGCTACAGAGCTGCTCCTATACCATGCAAGAATGCCGTATGTCAGGACACTCTCAATGGTGCTGGGATAGTAGGACAGAAGTAGATGCTGAGATAGATTTATCTTCCTGAGCAGATCCTGAGATAGATTTATCTTCCTTTGTACAGGAAGTACAAAGAGGTGTGGGTTGTACCTTCACTGCTTAACTTTCAGCCGTTGGCTTACGGTAGTTGTCGTTCGGTCCCTTCTGACCCTTCTTGACCAAACACCTTATTTCAGCAGGTCTAACAGCTTCTTGGAGCGCCTGCTTGGATCATCGGTGGCAACGGTTGGCCACCTTGATTTCTGCTGACTTCTTTTTCAAGTGCGTTTGGTGTTTCCAAGCACCAGGGGCTTCTCTGTTGACACTTACCTGTGCATTAGGTGTCCAAAACATCTAAGCGTATAGTCTATTACACCAGCTAAGGCACACCTGCATGACCTTAATGATATCACTTTCTAACCTGCTGGTAAGAATGAAAAACTCAAACATCGTATGATCTTCCCTTTACCATAAGTGTGGCAGTAGGAACTTTTGGAGTTTCTAGACCAGTGATGGCGAACCTTTTTGGCACCAAGTGCCCAAACCGGAATGCACGTGCATGCATGTGCACGCACTGGAGTACGGGAAACCCGGAGACCAGCTGGCCGGTGTACGCATGCCTGTTTTTTGGGCCGTTTTCAAGCCATTTTGGGCTGTTTTCAGGCCATTTCCGGGCCATTTTTCTGGCTGTTTTTGCCCTGAAAAATGCCCCCAAAATGGCCTGAAAATAGCTCGAAAAACAGGGCAAAACCAGCCCCCAAAATGGCCCGTTTTTTGGCTGGTTTTGGGGGCCATTTTCAGGCCATTTTCCAACGCTCCAGCGCCCGTGAAGACCAGCTGGTGACGGCGCACATGCCCACAGAGAGGGCTCTGCTTGCCACCTCTGGCACGCGTGTCACAGGTTCGCCATCACGGTTCTAGATCAACATCTCCAGTAGGCATCGCCCTTGGGAAAGGCTGTTTTAGTTCAATCAAAGGTACTTACTTGATGTAGGTGAGGTTGTGGCTTCCCGTCAGTGCCGTGGCAATGCAGATCGCCCCATCCATGCCCAAGGAGTTCTCCTGGAGACTGAACAAGAACACGGAAACATCTGGCTATCTATGCACAAATAGGAAGTTCTAACATGGTTTGCTCAGCCTGCGGAGCGAACCAATTTCTTGCCATTTGTATTTGTGTTTCAGCCTTTGATCTGATCTGACACGTGCCTTGTATCTGCTCTAGCTTTATTTTCTACTAAAGATCCTGAGAAACACCAAATGGATACTAAGAATCGATCAAGACGTACGCCTGAAGGAAAGTCGTACGCAACTCTAAAGCCATGTTTGAAAAATTCGCCGATGCAACAGTCCTCTTTGGCATTTTCTATTTCCTTGAGCTTAAGCTGCTTCTTTCAATTTAAGACATTTCCTCGAGCTTAAGACATTTCAAAACAGCCAGTTGGTTTAGGAACAAAGATATGACATTCTTGAAATATTGATAAGCCTTGTACTTCACAACTCTAACAACTGCTTGATGATAGGTACGATATTGGTTAGAGTAGGCTCCTAAGGCTATCTGCTTCTTTCTTTGGATAATAAATGAAAAACCATTTCAGTATGACTCAAGCAGAATATATATATATATTTATATATTTATAAATTTATATAAAATATATAAATTATAAAAAATTATATTTCGCTGATAAAGAAATTCAGCGAAATATAAATTTGGTATAAAATGGTTTGTCGTGAATGCGACTGCTTGAGGGCTCCTGGATTGGAGCTGAAAGGCAAAAGGGATGCAGTATGCTCCCTCCCACATGCTGGAGTGTCCAACCTTGGCAACTTGAAGACTTGTGGACTTCATCACCCAGAATTCCCCAGCCAGTCATGCTGGTGGAGAATTCTGGGAGTTGAAATTCACAAGTCATAAGTCTTAAAAAGTTCTGGAGTTCTGGAAGTTGAAATCCATAGGTCTTTAAAGTTGCCAAGGGTTGGACACTCCTAGCATATAGTAGGAATTCTTCACAAGCAGCCTTTCCCACATGCACTACTTACTTCAACCTGCGGAGGGTGCTGTTAACTTTCAAGGAATGGGCCATAGCCTTGGCTCCCATCAAACCAATGGAGTTTCCTCTAAGGCTGAAATCAGAAGGAAGGAAGAATCATGAGGAGGAGGATTGATGGAGCTACAGCTTGATGGAGAAGTTCAGCCATCTCTGAGATAGAAAGGGGGAGAGAGAGAGAGAGAGACCCCACCCACATAATCCAGGCAGGGAATGACCCCCTTCCTCAATGTTCCCAGGTGGTATCCAAGAAACACCATTAAATATATATGAATGAATGAATGAATCTCGTGAGAAGTTGGGACAGCTGGAATCTAAATAGGTTTCAGAGATTTTTGAGAGGGCTTCAAGCAGGGGTGGGCTGCTGGGGGTTCGCAGGGGTTCGGGAGAACCTCTCACTAAGATTCTGTGCAGTTCGGAGAACCCCCAAATCCCACTCCTGGCTGGCCCCGCCTACCCCTCCCCTCCCAGGAGTCCCCACGCGGCCTGTTTTGGATGCAGGTAAGTGCAGGTAAGTGAGGCTTGGGGAGGGCAAAAAATGGGCCTACCGGAAGTTCAGGAAGGCCGGAAACGGGCCAGAGGGCCTCCAGAGCCTGGGGTGGCCGTTTTCGCCCTCCTGGAGGCTTGAGGAAAGCCTCCGGAGTCCGGGGAGGGCAAAAATGCCCCTCCACTGTAGTGCAGGAGGCCAACTAGGCCACACCCACCTAGCAACCGGGCAGAGAATCCTTTATTAAATTTTTGAAGCCCACCCCTGCCTCCAAGTCTGAACTCGTGAATTGGGCAAGGGTGGCACAGATCTAGTCACGTGTCTCTCCACCTCAGCAATTTTAAGATACGTGGACTTCAACTCCCAAGAGTCCTCAGCTCGGGGAATCCTAGGAGTTGAAATCCACCCACCTTAAAAGTTGCTGAAGTTGAGAAACCTGGTTCTCTCCTAAGGGCACTTCCCGAGAATGCTCAGCCATCTCAGCAATTCCCGGTGGGGATAATGGGAACTGTAATCCATCCCACCTGGTGAGTGGCAGATGTGTGAAGTTGGACTCAGCCAACCTCTTAAGGTCTGAGATGGATGAGTGGAATCCCCCACTCCCACTCTGCACCTTTATTGAAACCAAGCAGGAGCTTTTTAGATCGAGCCAAGGAGATGGTTACCACACCTCAGTAAAGGTAAAGGTTCCCCTCGCACATGTGCTAGCCGTTCCTGACTCTAGGGGGCAGTGCTCATCTCCATTTCAAAGCTGAAGAGCCAGCGCTGTCCGAAGACGTCTCCGTGGTCATGTGGCCGGCATGACTCAACACCAAAGGCGCACGGAACGCTGTTGCCTTCCCACCAAAGGTGGTCCCTATTTTTCTACTTGCATTTTTTAACCTGCTTTCGAACTGCTAGGTTGGCAGAAGCTGGGACAAGTCACGGGAGCTCACCCCGTTACGCTGCACTAGGGATTCGAACCGCTGAATCGCCTTCTCGATCGACAAGCTCAGGGTCTTAGCCACTGAGCCACCGTGTCAAAAAGCCCAATTAAAAAGATGGAAACTTCACGTGAAACATCTTCAACATTGGATAGAACAGCAACGAGGAGTTGCTTGGAGATTCGAAGGAGGAGTGGACGGTTTGGAGATGTTTAAATAGACTCTGCACTGGTTTGGTTAGCTAGAACTAAAGACCCCATGGAAAAAATGGGGGCTTCTCCCAGAGGATACGGATATTTACTGTGAATGTTGGCACCATTCAAACCACATTTCCGGATTCTTGCATAAGTGGATAGCTGCGTTCCTATCAAACAGGCAGCAAGTAGTCAAAATAGGGAACTCCGCTTGATAATGCTGCTACTCTACAAAAAGACCTCGACTATGTGTCAGAATGGTCAAACAATTGGCAACTCCAAATCTCAACCAACAAATGTTCTGTCTTACACATTGGAAAAAAAAAAATCAGAACACCAAATACAAG